GCCTCCCAGAGGACTCTGAGCATGAGGTGGCATCATTCACGAACCATCCTTCGAGTCCTTCCTGGCTCCTAGTGAGGGCCCCATAAATGTCTGCCAGTATGACTGGTGCTCAATAGTCATATGTAAAATACGACTTGTCCTATGGTTTCTTCTTTCTTTGTCGTGCAGGCTTAATGCCATTCTATGAACTTGAAGGGGCCGTCCATGATATCGCCAAGAACTGAATAACAAGATTAGAGGGTGTATACCGTTGCCTTGGAATTTCTTTTCCATTGAGATTTATTTGTGTGCTAAATATACTTATTTTCTTCTACCAAACTTGGGCTCTTATTTTGAGAATGGAGTTGGAATGCAGCCATACTGCATTTTTAAAAGTTCCATCAAACAAGCCACAGGCTCTTTAAATCTCCAGTCTCTGGGTGCGCTACGGTGTGCTACTCCCTGCGCCTGGAGCCCCTTCTCCTGCAACCCTTGAGGAAAAGCGACTTTGCGACTCCACCCTTTGGCCCCTTCCTCCTCCAGCCCTTCGCCCACAGCCGTATGATGGTCTCTCTCACACCACATCATGTGTATTTGTTTATAAGTAAAATGGACTTTTTGTTTATTACCATATCACAGGAAAATGGCTGGGCAGATTTCCACCAGTTTTGGAGAGTAAGTTTTGGGTGGTCTGACTTAGAATGTAAACCAGGAGGCATATGCCAAACTCACTCTCCGAAGGCCTGGGGGAGGGAAGACTTCAAATAGATAGGCAGTCATTCTCCCCAGCAGCTGAAACCGAGGGGCCCCCTGTGGCTGCTAATCCTTAGGGACGTAACTTGCATAAACTGTCACGGGAGAACTACCAGCAGATCCACCATCAGCCCCAAATGAAAGGCACATGGCGGATGCCCTGCATTCCAGACACTGATTTGTAATCAAGCTGCTTCTCACATGGGTGGGTACCAGCAGGATTTACTTACTATCATGTTTAACGGGGACAACAGAGGAAGGCCAGCTTCTCTGTCTCCAAGTCTGTCCCCTCCAGCCCTGGGAGGCAGGGCCATGTCTTGGTCACTTCTAGGTCCTCAGAATGTGCCCAAGAAAGGAGCATTGAGAAGCCAGCACTGCCCCTCCCTCTGCACCACTGAACTGCCTGCACTGCCTTGGGAAGATGCAACATCCAGGCCTCCTTAGCTGTTAAAGCACAAACTCCAACCTGACCCCAGAAGCACGGAGGAAAGAGCTCTGGCTGAAGTGGGGTCCTGTTCTCCCCTCGCTCTTGCAATTCTACAGTTGAAGAATCATACAGCAGTCTGTCTGCGTCCTCTTGGTGATGCCCAGGGTGGTGGCTATTTACCAACAGGTGTGGATGCAATGTAACATTTTAACAATGGGTACGGAATACCAGTGACCTGGAATGGGGACACGGGTGACTGATGGCTTCCCAGGCTGAACATTCTCAGCGTCTTCCTAGGTGCTTCTATCTCTGAAGATGCCAATGGTCTGGCAGTGGCCTCCTGGAACTTAGACTCCCTAAGGTCACCCTAAAGCCAAGTGCCTGGTTTTCAAGAACAATTCTAGAGCGAACAGACCCTAATCACCCTGCATGCCTTTTCCAGAGCCGCTGTGTTGAGCCCAGCACTGCACCAGCTTGACTTCATCTCACTTAGCGGTCTTGTAGTGGCCCTTTGGACAGACGGTACTTCCGGCCTTGTGTGGGCTGTGAAGGGCCCTTCCAGGTCCCACAGTCATGGAGGGGCAGAGCTGGGATCGAGCCCAGGCCTTACACACCAAACCACAACAACACTCCACTTTTCAAATGTGTGTCTCCCCGCTAAAGCAGCCCTCTGAGAAGGCTGGACAATCATCCCAGTGACCTCATTGTCCAAAGCTGCTTGGGGGTCTTTTTAGGGAGCAACTTTAGTGCCTGTAGCACTGTCCTCTGAGTGTCTGTCTTTGTTCTTTGAGGGCGTGTTCGAGTTTTTTTTGTTTTTTTTTTTCCAAGAAAATCCATAGTTACTCGTCAGTGTGTCAAGTTGGAGGAGTGAAGCGTTTGGTTCTCTTGAGTGTCTTGTCAGCAGGTTCTGGAGGCTTTTCCAGAAAGGTCTATGGTGAGGGTGACGTGACTGGCCCATGGGTAGGCTTTGGGACAGGGGAGAGGAAGGGGCCTGAGCCGAGCCTGCAGTCTGAACACCTGTGCGCAGGGTCTGGCTCAGAAACTTGGGAGCTGGAATCTCAGGCTTGTACTTTCTGGCTGTTGTTTCTGAGCCAATTCACCTAACCTCTCTGAGCTTCAGTTTTCTCATCTGTACGAAAAAGACGACACCAATGCCTGTCTCAGAAGGTTGCTGCTGTGACATGTGTGGTGCGGCATGTGGCCCCTGGGGATGGGGCAGGTGTCATCAGTGTTACTGTGAAGGGGCCGCACTCCTTTGAATGTGTGTTTGGCTGTTGGTTGGAAAGGAATAATAACTTTACACCGCACATTTTTGTTTCTCTGTCCTGCTACCCTGTACTTGGTCTTGAGTCTGTTTCGGTCGATTAGCTTCCCCGATGACCTCTCATTCTTTTAACAGGTATTTATAGAGTGCCCACGTACTCCATACCTGGCACTTGACCTTGAACTGCTTGCACTGTTGAAGATGCTGGAGATACATCAGAGATCCAAAATGTCACAAGTTCCTGCCTTCACCTAACCCAGCCGAGCCCCAACTCAAACCCTGACCCATCCCAAACTCTACAGGCAGGCCTCGAGAGCCTGGCCTGCGGTCAAATGTCCCCCAAAAGAGCTTGAGCATTCTGGGCCGAGTCCGTGGTGCACTGGGGAGCGTGCGGCGCTGGGAGCACAGCAGCGTGGGTTCGGAGNGCCTCGAGAGCCTGGCCTGCGGTCAAATGTCCCCCAAAAGAGCTTGAGCATTCTGGGCCGAGTCCGTGGTGCACTGGGGAGCGTGCGGCGCTGGGAGCACAGCAGCGTGGGTTCGGAGCCTATATAGGGATGGCCGCCAGTGCGCTCACTGGCTGAGCACGGTGCGGCCGGTCTCAAAAAGGACAAAAAAAAAAAAAAAAAAAAAAGAGCTTGAGCATTCCGCTGTGACGACTGGTTTCTGGAACCCGGAAAGCTTCCTGTCTCTAGGGTATGTGCTCCATGGGAGTGACAGTGTTCGAGTGACAGGCCAGTTCTGAACAAATCAAAACAATGGCTAAGTGAAGGATTCCAGGCTCTGTCTGTCTGTCCTGGGGGTAACTTCTGATGTAGGATTGTCTTGAGCACAGGGATTCTTCACCCAGCAACTTCTTTAAGGATAGGAGGCTGCAGCATGGCCTCATGGCCATAGGCTGACTCTGCGTCCCTGTGGGGGTCCTCCAGCTCGTGCAGGGATGGCAACCAAAAGCTGGTGAGATATACAGGCAATACCTTCAGCACCGAGAGGGCTTACTGCCTGAAAGGTCAGCGCCCAGCCAATGAGAGCGGATTAATAATGCACTCTGCAGAAGGTCGAGGGCAGCTGCACAGAGCAACACAGGAGGTCCCTCCTGCTGGCCCTCTCTCCACTGATAGGAGCGTGGCTCCAGGAGTCCCATGTTACAGCCCCTTGGGCAGAGGGAGCCTCTTTACATTTTGAATTCTACCTTGAGTGTCTAGAATCTAAATGCTGGTCATCATTTTCAGGGATTTAAAAAAAAAAGAAAAATCACACTTCAGGAAAAGGACTCAGACATCTACAAACCAGCCTTGGGAATTCCCAGTATCTATGTGGCTACGAAGAATTACATACTCATAAAAAGATGCCATAACCTGAATCACATGGATTCAGAGCAGCTTTGTCTCCCCATCAAATCACAACTAAGCCAGGCAAAGTTGGGGTCTCTGTCCCTGCCAGCTTTGAGTGGGGGAGTTAGGTCCAGTCTTCATGGCTCTGCCAAGCCCATCGGTAACCCTGGAGCTAAATAAAACAGCAGCGAATGAGACGTCCTCAGTCCATGGCGCCCGCAACCAGACCCCAGGCTCCCTGGCACCTCCTACCCAGCGAAGAGCCCTGCTCCCTGCTGGCACCTCTTCCTCCTCTTCCTCTCCCAGGACCGGACAGAAAGGTCCAGGGCATGGGATGCAGTGGCCTTTCACGTCCCCTTCCTCAGCAACCACTGGGCTTGGCTGAGGGGGCTGGGCTGGGAGGCTGTACAATTGCATCACTGGAATGCACTTGGCCCCTCCGCCATAGCCTGGAACAGTGTCCCCGCATGACCCACCTAGTGGCAGCTCTCTAGAGTTCTGTGTCTCCTGGAGGCACCGTCCCCTCAGTTAACATAAAAGCTGACATTTATTGAATGGTCCATGTGTCAGGCCCTGGGCTAAGGTCTTCTGTGCCTAATCTCAGTGAATCCTCCCCACAACCTCACCAGAGAACCTGTTGTCATCCCTGCCTGTTCTACAAATGGAGAAACTGAGGCTCGAAGAGGTCACCTAGCACACCCAGAATGTCCCAGCTCATAGGCAGAAGAGCAAGGTCTGAACCCGAAGCTAAACGCCTTGCTGGTCTACACAGCTTCCCATCCTCAGGGCTCTGGTGCACCCAGCCCCCTGTTTCTGGAGTAGTTAAATTGAGCAGTTCTCCAGGCCTCTGCCTACTCAGGGCTGGGTGTCAATTTCTCCTTGCCTTCAGCAAGCTTCTTTGCAAGCCAGAGCTACTGAGTAGCAGTATGTGGGGCCACTCCTGCCATTCTAGAGGACCGTGCTCTTGGAGGGTGGTCTGATATGATCAAAGTTCCAGGGACCTCAACAGTACTGTGCAAACATTGAGCAGAACTTGGGAGGTGGCAGCTAGCCCACATCTGATTTCTGTGTAGTTTCTTGGGCCCCTTAGTCTTTTCAGTCGCAGGAAGGAAAGGCAGAAGGGAAGCTTATGAGATGGGCCACCCGCCTAGGCCTGCACCCTAAAGCTGTCTGCCTTCATTGCCCTGCTCTGGGAAGGGGCTGCTCCTCTCCCCTCTGCAGGCCACCTGGGCTTCCTGCCCCTCACCTGAGAGTCAGAGATTTCTGAGGGCTTCTCAGTCAGGCTGCTGCTCTCTGCTGGGATGAGGTCATTATACTTGGTGACATCCTCATCAGAGTAGTGGAGGCTGCCCGGGCTGGGCCGGGGGGGAGACCTAGAGAGAGTTGGGGGAGTGGGGCTGAAAGGTGGCGTCACACAGAGCAGCCTCCCTGGCCGGGGAGACCCCAATGAGTCCTGGAGGAGCACAGGCCCATGGGTCCCCTCTGTTTTTGGTCCCTCCTTCTCCCCAGGTCTGCTTTCCATAGGCCTGGGCCTTGCAGAGAGGGGCCTGGAGAAGGAGGAAAGAAATGGGGTTCTAAGCTACTGCTGCCTTGGCCACATGCTGGCTGAATGGGAGGGGGCATTGCCACCATGGCTGGGTTCAGGTCCCCGGAGCCTGGGACAGGTTGGGTGAAAACGGGATTTCTGTACATACGCAGTGGTGCAGGGACATGTAGGGGCCTCGGTGTGTGTGCACTGTGGGTGGGAGAGGCAGGGAGGGGCAGGGGCAGGTGAGGCCACCAGTGCAATTTCCCCTTGTCACATGTGGCAAGGCCCTGGAGCCAGGCTGGCGGGGCTGCCGTGGCCATGCAGGCCCCAGCTTGGCCTGCCACTGTGGCCTCAAACAGCTCTTTATTTGGCAGGCTGGGTTTGGCGGGGGATGAGAGCTGGCCTTGCCGGCCTGCGAGCCCCTCCCTCTGTCCTCCTGATGAACACACACATCGCTTCGTCCCTCCAAGACGGAGACAGAGAGGAGCTTTGTGAGGGCCCCCTGAGAGAGGCTTGACTCCCCCTGCTTACTGTCGCCCCCTCCGGTGAGCTGGGAATGTGAACAGGGCTGGGGCGGAGGCAGGAGCCTCTCCAGCTACAACCTGCAATCTCTCTTGAGCTCCGAGGGGCATAAAACTGCCACATCATATCAGGGGAGGGTCAGGTGGGCCCCAGCAGCTGTGCCTGCCCTTGGACATGGGCAGTCCAGTGGCCACAGGGAATGGGGCCGAGGAGGGGCCTGGGGTCAGAGAGAAGTCAGGAGGAAACAGACGTGGGGTGTTTGTTTCCTCACCGGCTGCATTCAGGTGGATGCTGCCCTTGGGGGAGGATGGTGGTGGGAGATTGTCCCCTAATGGGGATAAATAAGGACCCAGGGGAGAGGGTTTCTATACTCCCCTGAATGCGGAGGAGGAAAGTGTAGAAACCCTGGATAGGGGAGCTCCTGGCACCTTGGCTAGGCCCGTCTCACCTTGGAGCAAGCCACGATCTGCCTGTTACCAGAGCAGTTGGCTCCAAGCAGCAGTAGGTTGGTTTGCAAAATTTTGCAAGTTATTTGCAGTCTGCTGTCATTGGCAGGAACCCTTAGTAGTCACCTCCTTGTGAATTTCTCCCCAGTGCGCCCTCAGCCCCAGGCTGCAGCAGGTCTGGTGGGACCCGTACAAGCCCCTGGTGGCACTGCCTGGCCCGGCTGTGTCTTTCTGGTGACTGTTCCCAGCCTCTGAGCTTGAATGCTGTTTCCCAGGACAGGGTAAGGCCACGTGGGCCCTGCCTGCTCTGTGGCCCTCCCCAGCATTCTCCACACCCGGGCACTCCTGGCCCCCACACCTGGTCCCCACACTTCCATCCTCCCATCCCCCAGGCAGAGGGCCCCCTACCTGGTGTACAGGCCATTCTTTCGGCAGAAGGAGTTCTTGACCGAGAGCCGCCGGTTGTTGAGTTCCAGGGCAGGGAAACTGCTTTCATCTAAGCTCATCATCTCCCCGTGGCCAAGGGCTCCAGACTTGGTACTGTTCCCTAGGGGGAGATGGACAGCCTTGAGACCATGTGGCCTCCCCTCTCCCACCCCACTCCCCACCTGGCTGCACTGTGCCCTCTTTCTCTTGTTAGAGTTGGGACCAACATAGGAGACAGAGGTTGTGTAGGAACTCCAGGCGCCCCACCTATCAGAGCAGGTGCATGGCCAGAGAGAGACCTGCCCTGGCCGAAAGGGAGGCAGACACGTGACAGTCATGTCTGCCAGCAGGGGGGTGCCAGCTCACTCACCCGAGTCACTTTTCTTGGCATACTTCTTGCTCTGGCCTCGGATGATGAGCACAAAGACCAGAAGCAGGATGAAAATGAGGCCGACCAGGGCGATGACCACCAGGAACCACCACTCCTCGTAGAAGGGGTTGGCTTTCTGGGCTGGAACATGGATGGGAGGTCAGGTCCAGGGTGCTCAGACCCTTCCTGCCTCCAAAGCCCCGCTGCAGCTGGGGCCCCAGCAACTGCTCACACGGTTTACGGGAGGCAGGGTCTGTGCCTGCTGGACGAGGTACAACCTGGGACAAGGTTGGTAAGGACGGTTTCATCTCAAGCACCTGCTCTGATCCGTGAGGACTGCCTGCAGGACTGTGTTGAGAAAGGCTCTGAGGTTGCTTCCAGACTCACCAGGAAGAGAGCTGGGACTGATTAATAATGTCTGTCAGGGACACAGGAGGGGACAGTAGTAGTGTGCTAGCTACTTTTTCTTTCTTGCTTTTCTCCTCACCTAGCGGCTACCTTCCTAGGCAGACCCATATTTTTGTGGGGAAAGGTGCTTCTCTGGCCTACAGAAGACCTGGGAGGGCTTTTCCCAAAGTTCAGTTTGGACTGAATCTTTCTCTGGTGGCAGAAAGCAGAGGGACTTGGGTGGACACAAGGGTGTCTTTAGAATGCCTCTTCCGGGCAGAGCTCCCCTTCTTTCAAAACCCCCAGTGCTGTGCTTTCTGTACCCAGCCAGGACTAATCTGTGTTGCTGCCAACAGGGGTCTGGCTCTTCTATTTCAGTCTTGATGTAGAGAACTGTGATTTGGTTCCATCAATCTGGGCAAGAGGGAAGGCGTGTGGGAGGAGGCAGTGTTTCTGGAACTCATCCAGCACATAGAAATTTTGAGTTGTACCTCTGCCTCGGGGGAGGGGGGTTCTTAGTATTCAAAGTGGGTAGTGATTAGATTTTGGGTCTTGAGTTTAGATATCAGAGTCCTCTGTGAGCTCGGAGACATGTCGGATGGGAAGAAGGAGAGGAAAATGGACGGGGTGGCGACCCTGCCCCAGCTGGGCACTGCCGGGGTTAGCTTCTGCACCACGGGCTGCTGGCCTTGTCTGCCTTTTGGGGGACAGTTTCCAGGGACACACAGGTCATGGCCTGGCATCCTTGAATCTCCTGGGTGATGAGCACATTGAAGCTCTCATGTGGGGCCCACTGTCTCACCCCTACCCAGGGCTCCTGGAGTCCTTAAAAGGGAACCCAAAAGACCCAAGGCCCCCAGTTTCCTGTAGAGTTGAGAGTTGACTCAGGCCCTGGTCCAGCACCACTGCTCTGAAGACCGGAGGGGACAGTGCATTGTGGTCCCACCCAGATGTTTCTGCTGCTCCGGTGCCTCTCCTCTGTCCCTCACCACCCAGCATCTGTCACCAGAGTCTTACGTGGGGAGCCCCCACCCCTCATCCCATAGACCGGTACCTGGCACGGACTGGGAGGGGCTGCTGGGGGTGCCAAAGCCGTAGTCGTTGACCGCGATGACCCTGAAGTCGTAGCTCACGCCCGGCTTGAGGATGTCCATGCTGAATGTGTAAGAACTCACCTCCTTGGGGATGTCTTTGATGAGGATGTCCCACAGCCCCTCATCTGCAAGAGCACAGAGAGGGGGACACCCCGTGAGGTGAGGGGGAGCCTCGAATCCTGCCGCAACCCATTCCTAACTGTGGCTCCCTGAGTGCAGGGCCTGCCTGGTCTGTCCTGCTCAACACTGAAGCTCCCATGCCTGGTCCTCAGCTGAGGTTTTTTAAAAAGACACATTTTGGAGTGTCTGTCTCTCGTTCTTTTTATGAGAACACCTGTAATACATTAAAGAACAATGTACTATGCAGAAAATACTGTCACAACCAACGCAATACCACCATCCAGAGAGATGGACTCAACATTTTAGCACCTGTGTAGGCAGAACCCTGCATATTCTGTCTTCCATGTCCTTAAAAATGGTTGCTAAACAACATTTTAGCACCTGTGTAGGCAGAACCCTGCATATTCTGTCTTCCATGTCCTTAAAAATGAGACTTAAAAATGAGACTTTAGGAGGCTGCCTAAGATTTTACTATACGGGAATCCCTTCCTTTACTTAACCAGGCCCCTATCTTTCTAATCCCTTTTCCTATTGAAAACATATATGTAGTGGCCTCAGACAAAAATAAGAGGACTTTACTTTTTATTTAATTTTTTAATACAGCTGCAGGAGAGATTTGGGTTGCCTGAGAGGGTTTGGCCAAGTTGTCTGGATTGGATGGGGCCCATCCTCGACTACGTCCTTTCTTAGGAGCAGAGATCAGAGGACAAAGGGTGTCCACACAGGGCCAGAGGATCCCTCGTCTGTTCTCCAGCCCATATTGCCCCAGCCACCCTGTCCTTTGAGCTCCTGAGCTTCCTTTCAGGCCCCTTACCCTTTGTCAGCAGCCCTCTGGGTCTCACCCCTGTGGGACATAACTCAGTCCCGCCCTATTCAAAGGGAGAAGTGGGGGCACTGCCTGTGCAGGAGGAGAGGCAGGCACCACCCCAACCAGGGCATCCATCATTGGAGGGCATCCATCTCGCCGTGGGGTCCTGGCCAGATGCTCTGGGTAGGGCCAAGGGGCCAGCCCTGCCCTTGGAGAGACGGGAGTCTTCCTGCTGGTGCTAGTGGAGGCTGACTTGGGAACCAAAGTGTCAAGCCACTGGAGGTCCTAGTCAGATCCCCTCTTCATGGGGACAAGAGGCTAGTCTCAGGAGTACCTCACAGGTCTTCCCTCCTGTGACATCCTCTAGGTAGGTCACCCAGTGGCTGCCAGGGAGCAAAAAGACCCCTGACTCCCACCAGCACGCCCTGCCCCAGCACCTCAGCTTCACCCTGTCTGTGGCACCATCTCATCTGCTTGCTTCTGAACTCCCGGTAAGAGCTGCTCTCCCAAGCTCTGTCCCCCAGCTCCAGCAGGGCTGCTCCTGGGGGCTGATGGGTTTTATGTTTTCCTCCCCACACTTTTTTACAGACCCAGCCATGTCAATCAGTCAAGAACCTGAGCGGAAGTACCACACTCCCTGTCATGGTTTCTGAATTTGTCCCAAGTGTGTGCTAGGATCTTCTGAGAGCTGCCTCTCACCTTCCAGTGTAGACCCCTCCAATCTGGGGAAGGCTGTGGGGCTCCCGACACTGGCCTCATCACTGATCATTCTGAGCATCTGCCCCATGCACATCCCATCTTTTTGTTTGGTGTCTCTCTGTCTCTCTCCTGCTAGGCTGTGACACCCCTCAAAGGCAAGGATCATGCCTAATTTGTCTTCGTAGCCCAGCACCGAGCACAGGCACCTTCTAAGTGTTTGGTGAATAAGTGAGTGGAAACCTTTCTTCCCGGGGATTTTCATAGCATGACATGCCCAATTTCAGTGTCTCATGCTTTGAAATGCAGGTCTTGGGGTACTTTGATTTCTCTTCGAATAATGGTCATAGCGATGATGATGACACAGCCGATGACATTTATTCCTGGGTCATATGCACGGCAACTGTGAGGGGGAGGAACTATTGTTCCCATTTTACAGATGAGGAAACCAAGAGAGAGCTTAACTCATCTTCCCAAGGTCTCACTGCTGTACGTGGCAGAGCTGGTGTTTCTGCCACGGGCCGTCTGACTCCTGGCACCAAACTTCTCCTGGGTGCCCAGAACAGTACCGTGGACAATCGGGAGTGGAATCGGTGTTTGCCGAATGGGCTCTGCTCAGTGAGGACACTGCTGCTGGCTTCCAGAAGCTGGGGCCTCCTGCCTGCCGTTCAACCCCCCTCCTTCCACTCCACACAGAGACAAAGGGTGGGGCTGGGGCAACCAGGCCAGGCCAGAAGCCGCTGGAATGTCATGCTGTGGCTCTGGCCTCCAGCCTGGAGGCTGGCTGATGTGCAGGGCCGGTTCCACTGCCCGGCCCATAAATCCCCTGGGTGAATCCCCCCTGGGTCTGCAGTGCTTGGTCTCTGGCTTGGAGAAAGTGGACATGTTTAGCTTATTCTGCGTAGCACAAAGCACAGACAATTAAGCAGAGAGTGTAGGCCAAGAGTATCTCATCCTGAAGATAAGAAGGGTGAGCAGCCAGGGGGCACGGAGGGGAGGAGACGGCCTCCCTGTAATAGCGTGCTGCTCTCAAAGAGTCTCAGGAAAAGCCGCAGCACGTCCTTGCCCACTCTCATGCCTTCCGTCCCCCTCCCCTTGCCTGGATACTGTCCTGTTGTCAGCTCTCTGGCACTGCTCCAAGTCCTGCCCATTCATGGGGTCCTGGCTAGGTCCTCCCTTTTATACTCAGTCCTTGATTCCACCTGTTGGACCAAGTCACGGCCTCCAAGCTTGGAACACCAGCATCTCATGCTGGGCCTCCCAGTGAACACTGGAAAATCCACAGGGCCAAGGCCAGGGCCAGCATTCCACAGCTTGGCACCCTGGTCGGCCAACTTGGGTGGAATAAACAGGCGCAGGCCCGGGTTGGGAGAAGCACGCTGTGGTCTCCTGGCCAACTCGGCAGCCGGTGCTGGCGGGCCAGGGAGGGGCCATCTGGAGTAGGGAGAGAGCCAGCCCCGCGAGCACCCTCCAGCAAGGCGGTGGATCTGAGCAGCGAGATGTATTAGCTATTTGCAACTGCAAATTATTAGCATAAGATTAAGGCAATGATGGATGGTAACGGCTTCCAGGAACTACTAGAATTAGTAACTCTTTGCTATTGGGGTGATTAGCAGTCAGCTACCCGAGGTATTAACAGTTAGTCACTGGGAGTTTCGATATTCCCCATTAGGAGTATTAGCTACTGATATGCTTGACGACTCCCCTCCTGATAATTATTTGCTGTTTGGGCTGGAGCAACAAAGTCTTTTTTCTCTTTCTCAACTTCAATCACCTAACCAGCCATTAGGAGTATTAGCTACTGATATGCTTGACGACTCCCCTCCTGATAATTATTTGCTGTTCGGGCTGGAGCAACAAAGTCTTTTTTCTCTTTCTCAACTTCAATCACCTAACCAGGGATCCATGGAATACAAAGAACAAGCCTCCGGCTCCTGCTGACTCTGGCACCTCTGATTAACTTGAAAACCGAGCAAGGCAGGGAGCGGGCGGGCGAGAGCTCCCGGGAGCCGGGAAGCTGGTGTCGGGAACTCCCTGAGACAGGAGCGGAGCGGGGAGCAGCCCCCAGTGGCTTATCAGTCGCTCATCTCCTGATGGCTCTGGAAGTTCTTGTGATTCGATTTCAGGCATGACAGGAGAGGTTGGTCCAATTACAGGAGCTGCTGAGACAGCTGCACTGGCACAGACAGGACTTGAAGAGGCAGCGAGCATCTCCTGGGTTATGGGGCCTCAGTCGGTGGGGTCACATGGAGGACGTGGTGCTTAACCACTGTGCGCCAAGCTCTTGCTCCTCTGGCTTCTTGAATGACCCTCAACCCAAGTTGGACTTCACCTGGTGCTAACAGCTGTCCCCTGGGGACCTCCTAGGTGTTCCTTAACCAACAGGGAACCCCCGTTTCCCATTCCCCAACAGGACCCTCTCTAGCTTCAGTGTAGGAGCATAAACACCTCCTCAGGAGGGGGACAGACACATGTGCCCCAAGTGAGGGACTCAGGAAGGAGGGAGAAGGTGAGCCTGGACTCTCGGCCCCAGGGGAGAGACGGTCTAGCCAGAGAGGGGCCCAGCTGGGGCGGAATTGCACCTGAAGGCCGGGCCTCTATGACGTAGCGGGTGATGGGTCCTTTGCCGGGGTCTCCGCTGGACCAGTGGATGGCGATGGCCGAGCTGTACCTCACAATGATGGGCACTCCAGGCGGTCCCGGGGCACCTGTAAACAGCATACAGTGGGCAAGGGGGTGTACACAGCCCAGATGGCCACCCAGTCGTCCATGTGCTTGAAGAGGAGGAGGGGCTGGGCGGTGAAACCAACCCCGGCCGAAGAGCCTCTGGGAAACCCTGCAGGTGCCAAGGCCTGAGGTGTGTGTCTCAGGCCAGGCCGGCCAGGATCTGACTACTGTCCCTTCTGGGCCACCCCCACAGCCCCCATTCCAAATGCCAAGTCAGGAGAGGGCACCTGAGATGTCGCCAGAAAGATCTCTGGAGTAGAATCGGGGAACATGGATTTTTAGTTCCAGCCCAGAAGTGGGCCTCTGCCCGTTTCCCCATCTGTGAGGGCTTTTGGAAGGTAAGGCTTGAAGGGATGTGGCATGGGGGTCATAGAGGTGGGTGGGAGGATGGCAGAGTGGACCCATGGATAGATAGGAGGGGGTGGCTTTGAGGGGGCTGAAGGGCCCCCCAACAGCTCCTCTCCTTGTGTGTGATGGTCATGTCCTCTCTGCCTCCTGCCTGAAACCTCCCTACTCCCAACTACATTTGCCATCAAGTTAGGCAAGGAGAGAGGGGGCTTGGGCCCCAGGAAGCCACTGCTTGGAGGAGGGAGGTGGGAGTGGGCTTCCTGTCGGCTCCTAGTGTGAGGAGTGTCGGGTGCAGCTGCCTGGTCCAGCCGCCAGCAGGGAGATGGAGCAGAAGAGGGGAGCTCACTTCTGCAGTACGAGCAGGGAGCCGGGTTATCTGTCCATGAGGGGTCCTGAGCCCCTTCTTCTCTCGCGGGTGCCCTGCCAGTGCAAGCCCTGTTCCCATCCTCTGGGGTCCTGCTGCCCCCCGAGTCCCAGCCTCGTGTGCTGTCACCCCCACTAGATGTGCAGCTCTGCACCCAGAACACAGCACACAGTAGGAGCTTCCCATGTGCTTGTGGGACGAGGAAACAAGCCAGTGCATGAGTGGGCAGGTAACTGGCTGGCCAGACGGCCTCTATAGACACCCACAGGGACGAGAGCCAAGGGCCCAGCATTGGAGGGCACAGGAAAGCTGGAAGGCCAGGCAGAAGGCAGGGACTCTCCTGGCCTCTGTGTCTAGTCCTCCCTTCCTGAAGGGGCATCCTTCCTGCAGCCCCAGGGCAAAGGCTGCTGACAGACAGGCACGGGGAGGCACAGCCTGAGGGAGATGTGGAAGGGCGGGGGTGGCCCTCAGGACAATGCTCAGGCCCAAGGGAGGGAGCTGTCCCTCTTAGACCAGAAGCTTCCAGTGCATGCAGCCTGGTCTGGAGGGAAAAGGACGGCCTTGGCTGTGAGCTCTCCCTGCAGCCCCTCCTCACCCACGCCCGCTGGGCAAGGCTCGGGTCTCTCTCTTGGAGTGCCCTCTACCACCTCATCTGCACTCCTGGCCTCCTCTCCCTCTCCCCAGCCTGGGACACTTCCACCCTCAGGTTAGAACAGCCTGTCCCCTGGATGGACAGCCCTCCCCTGTCCCCACACTGCCACGGCTGCCAGCTTCTCTTCCTGCTTTTGTTTCCCAGGGAAGTTGGCTCAGGTGCAGGGGGCAGGCCTGGGGCAGATGGAGGGGGGCAGCTCCCGGCAAGCTTCCTCCTAGGCCCTGCAGGCTTTGTTCTAAGGGAGCTTGGGAGCCGGAACACGGGGATGAGGTGACCAGAAAGGGAAAGTGAAGAGCAGCCACCCTGAGCCGCCAGGGGAGGAGCCAGGCAGGCAGGTGAAAAGGTAAAAAGCAGGAAGAGGCAGGCTCCCCAGGCCCAGTGCACCTCCTGAGGCCTCCCAGGGAGAGCTGGCCGCTGCCCACCCTGGCCGAGGGGGCAGGGTGCAGGAGGAGATGGGATTTGGGGGGAAGTTTGGGATGGGCTGTGTACTTTCTTAGGGAGGGAAGTAGCAGGGTGGCCCAGGAGGTGGCTTTTGCATTCAGGATGGGACATCCTGCACCAGTGATGGGGACTTTGGAGGGCTAAACGTTGATCATTGCAGTGGCTGTGGGAGAGGAACGGTGGGAGGTGTGGGGATACTTAAAGGAGGTGATTAAAGGACACTTCATGGGTGGGACACACAAATAGACCTGCGGAAATACAAAATGGCACGTAGTCTAAGGGACATCCTGCACCAGTGATGGGGACTTTGGAGGGCTAAACGTTGATCATTGCAGTGGCTGGGGGAGAGGAACGGTGGGAGGTGGGGGGATACTTAAAGGAGGTGATTAAAGGACACTTCATGGGTGGGACACACAAATAGACCTGCGGAAATACAAAATGGCACGTAGTCTAGGAGCATCTACAGCAGAGGAGGCAGGGAGGAGATGGGTGATGGGGGGACGGCAGGGCCTGGCTGGGAAAAGGCTGCTGGCTCCTCCATCAAAGTGTTTCTCAAGAGGCCGCCTACTCAGAACCTGGGGCTCTGGTGATAAGCGCAGGTGGCGGGGCCCCGCCTCAGCCCCAGGAAGTCAGGATCTCTGAGCATCCTCCCTGGCAATGTGCATTCTCACAAGAGCACCCTGCAAAAGATGGGAAGATGGCTCTGGCCAGGCCAGAGGCAGGGGGACCTGCCAGGATGCATCCTTCCGGGATGGAATAATTGAGGCCAGCATAATTGGGGGGCAGGAAGGGAAGAAAGGAGCAAGTGGCATGAAGAGGTCTGGACGTGTGCTCTGGGCCTAAGGAGTGGGAGGTGGGGAGGGGCCACTCCAGTGTTTGTGGCTTGAGGAACATGGAGGCACTGATGCTATTAACCAGAGGGCAGAACCAGGAGGAGGGAGGCGGAGGGAGGGGGCCCCGGAGGCCAGGTGAGGAGTCAGCTCTGTCCCCAAGCTCTGCTCTGTGTCTCCAGGATCTAGCACAGCTCTTGACCCCTGGGGGCCCCTTCTGACTTGAGGAGCTGAGCCACGGTGCAGAGAGCAGCAGCTCACGCGTGGCCCCGTTGCTCCCTTACCTTCTCCCGGGCCCGTGGTGACATTGGCTTCGATCTCCGGTCCGTAGGTGAAGGTCTTGGCTCTGATGCGGAACCTGTAGGTCATCCCCTCTGCCAGGTCCTTCACCTTCAGCCACAGAGGGCTGCTCCCCTTCACGTCCACGGTCACAATCTTGCTGACTCCTGAGGGGAAGCACATTAAGTGGGGGTCGCAGGGTCCACCGAGGCTGCTGGAGACCATGGGGGAGGGGAAGCAGCAGTGGTCCAAACCCCAGATGCTGGCTGGGGCCTTGGCCTTGAACTCAGGCTGAAATGTCCCCCTACCCCCCACAGCAACATCGCCCATGCTGCATGTCTCAGAAAATGGCCCTGCAAGCTGTTCTCAGGAGAAGGGGCTCCGTGGTTAAATGAGTTTGAGAAAAGCCACATACTGTCCGTCTATCGAATAACCACAGGGTCCTGTAACATCTGGAGGAAAAGAAACACCATCCTGTTTATTTGCAGTCAAATGCTCTACCACTGAGCTATACCCCCACCTAACCACCATCCTGTTTATTTATCCACTGTACCCCAGATAGATTTCACCCCACTTTTTCCCCCTATGTAACATCCCATAGAGCTAGAGTTCTGACGGTCATCTTTCAGGAAGTGCTTTGTCAAGGTGCTGTGAGTCCAGAGTCGGAGGGGACACACTTGCGACCAGCTCCTACAACTGAGCCCCAGCTCAGCTCTCAGCTGTGTTCTAACACACAGCTCCGCTTTGCAGAAGGAGCTGCTGGCACCCAGGTGGTGGCAGGGAAGACTGAGGGCCATTGTTCCCCTGGCTTGACCTAGAACTGCTGGCTGCGGCCACATTCCCAGGGCTCCACCCCTTGTTCTTGCCAGGCCTGGTTGTTGCAGGGGAGTGAGAATGATGGGGGTGACCCCAGAGGCCAGCCACACCCCCAACACCTCACTGGAACCAGACCCAGGCAGTGAGGGGCCCAGTTCCCTCTGTCCTCATTCCTAGGTCTGTATGTTAACTTCGTAATAACTTCGTATAGCATACATTATACGAAGTTATACGAGGTTCTGCGGGGGAGGACAGGGAGAAGGGGAGGAAGCATCCCAGTCTGCAGTATCCCCAGTCCCCAGCTGGCCGGGGCAGGAGGACCAGGCTGCTATTGTCCAGCGCTGCCCCCCACCGAGCCACGGCTAATCCGACCGCTTCTGGCTCCAGCTCCGGGAGGCCACATCACTGAGCTGTCTTTGAAGGAGGGAGGCAAGCTCAGGGGGCCCTTCCTGCCTCCCCTGGGCTAGAGGGATGTGGGACAGAACACTTTGTCTGGCTGCCACAGCAACGGAAGCTTCCAGGCTCCCAGGGGCTCACATCCGGCCAATGACATGGACAGAGTGGTCGGAAGAGGCAGACAGACAGAAGGACTTGCACATTTGGATGCTCTGGCTCAGCCAAGCCTCAGCCAGACCCTGGGGAGCCAGAGGAGGGAAAGAGTTTCCCTGGAGCCAGGGCTTGTCCCTAAAGAGGATCATAATTAGGAACAGACTCCGTGTAAAGAGCCATTTGCAGCTCGTTAAGAGCCACATGTAATTAACAGTGTGTGTGGGGGGGAAGCAGCAGGTTAGAAAACCCTCTTATGGGAGGCCAGGGCAACAGGCTTATCTTCAAATCCACGAGGGGAGAACTCCTGGTGCTCCCAGAAACTGGGCTCCAGCCCCTGCTCCCCCACTGACCTGGGCAGGAAGCACGACTTCCAGGCGGCGCTTGCTCATGTGAACTCTCTGCAGGGCGTGCTCTGCACACGTGGGCAGGGGCATTCTTAGCATCACCCTTCGCTCTGCCTGCCCCACCGTCCAGCCTCCTCACTGGCCTCCCTGCCCCCGTCCTCCCCTCACCAGTCTGTCTCCTGCACAGCAGCCAGAGTGATTTTTTCAAAACATAAACCAGATCCTGTCGCTTAAACCCTCTGATGGCTTCCCATCGTGCTTAGAATTAATCCCAATCCTAAACCCCTAGACCCTCTGTGACCTGACTCTCTCTCCTTTTCCTGCAAACCACCTGGCTTTCTCTGTTTCTCTAATTCCTCTGGCCACCAGGCCTTTGCACCTGCTGTTCCCTCCACCCAAAACCCTTCCTCACCCCGACCCCTGCCACCTCCAGGACTTCCCATGCTGGCTCCTCCTCATTCAAACCTCAGCTTAGATGTCACCTCTCAGCGAGCTTTTGTGGGCAAACCTGTCCAAAGCCATCCACCCATCTCCTGTCCCACCCTTAGGTCACCCGCCTTTACCACCACCTATTTACAAGGGCGGGGACCTTGCTGGTCCCACTCACTGTTGTGTCCCCAGCATCAAGCAGAGTGGTGGCTCATGGAAGACACTCAACAAACATTTGTGGAATGAACAAAGTCAGGGAGAAAAAAAAGGCAGGTGGGAACAGGTGGGGAGCAGAAGTGGGTTGGCCATCAGCACGGCGGGATGCCTGAGACAAGGGGCGAGGACTGGCGAGGTCTGTGGCTTTTCGAGCCTTCATGGGGACAGCACTCTGGAGGGTGTCTTATGGGGCCTGGGTACCAAGCCCAGATCCTAGCAGGATAAGGCAGCTGCCTCTGCTCCTCCCAAAAGCCCAGACCCCAGGTGGGTCCTCCTGCAGCCCCTGGGGCAGATCTGCCCCTCCCCAGAGCCCTTCCCCCACCTGCTTGCTGGGTCTGGCCCCGGGTGGGGCTGCTCCGTGGCCCGTCCCCAGCGGCGTTGAAGGCTGCCACACTGACCATGTAGGCAGTGTAGCCGGTCAGGTTCTTCAGCTTCACACTATTCTCAGCCAGGAAAAGTGTCTTCACCCGCTCTGTGAGGTTCGGCTGCTGGGCTTCCCAGAAATAAATCTGTGGGCAGAGAGGATTACGGGAATGAGGGGGATGGAGACCCTGGGCTTCTCCCCTGCCCCTGCCTGATCCAGGGTCTTCAGAGACACCTTCACTGTTGTGAGTTGCCCACGAAACAGCATAAAAGTATCTGAGAGCTGTTTTAGAAACCCTTCCAGAACCTTCCTTTTCAAGATCAAGACCCTATTTGCTGCTAGACTGTAAATGCACAGCCCGTGTAACTGTGTTCACCACCGTGCCTGTAGGATTTAGCTCAGCACTGGCACATCAGCCCTCAGAACAGAGCTCCTGGAGGCATAAGCCAATTCTGTCCCATGGGAGCCTGAGTTGGGGAGATAAGTGCAGTGTAGAGTCCCAAGCTGAGTGGGGTGCCAGGGCCGGCAGCATCACATCACCTGCGAGCTGGTGCGGGATGTGGGGTCTCAGGCCCACCCTGGGCCTGCTGCAGCAGCAGTTGCAGGTTAGCCAGACCCTGGTGATGCACCCACACACTACAGTTTGCAAAGCCCCCAAGGATGCACCTGCATAGTACAGTTTGCAAAGCCTGCTGCAGAGGAAGGCCTGGGCTAAGATGACAGGTGGCCTGGGGCTGAATTCTGGCTGCACTATTTACTAGTGTTGTGCCTTGACCAGGTGACTTCTCTGAGCCACAGTCTTGTAATGTAAATAGTGGGGTTAAGGGCACTTACTTCCTAGGGTCAACATGAGGGGTGAAGGCCGTAAGGACTACAGAATATGGCACACTGCCTCCCATGGGGTACTTGGCCAGCCTCTGAAGGCAACGTGTGGCTGCAGAGTTTTAGGCCAGTAGCAGAGCAGCTGCTCCACAGTGCTTTCAATGATTTCATATTCAGCGGGGGTTAATACTCCTAGTTAGTGAAGCATGGAAGATTCTTAAACTAGTTTTAGAACTTTGGACTAAAGCCATCTAGAAAGCGGCAGGCCAGTCCCAAGCCACGTGGAGAATGGGAGATCGTTTGGTGCCACCTGCTGTCCAAAGAGGTTTCTGCAAGCTACTGGCTTAATTTCTCAATTTCCCTCGAGGAAGCTGAATAAAAGTGAGCAAGAGCTAATAGAAGTGTCCCCCACTGGCATGTGTGAATGACAGTTAGGACATCTTGCTACCATGAAATCCCTGCTTTTCTGCAAACTCCCCCAGCCTCTTTTTACAGACTCTTTTCCTATGGGTAGATGAGGTAGTCATTCATTAAGTCCCTCATTTGCCCATTCATAGTAATGGGGACACGACAGTAAACAAAGTTCCTGCTGATTTGGTGTTCAGGAGGAAGGTCAAGGCTAGCACTACAAATCTGGGTGTTATCAGTACATAGGTGGTATTTGATGATCAGCGAGAACTGGAAGAAAATGTGAGGTCAGGAAAAGACATTAAAAGAGGAAATATATTTCAGAATGCTTTTATGTCCCCTCCATGGGAGATACCCACCGCAGGGAAAACACAGTGATGTGGGAGAGAGAGGGTCAGTGGCTGGAGTCATGCTCTTAGTTAGGGGAGTGGTCAGGGTCTAGTGCCTCGTACAAAAACAATCACCCTCCACAGGTGCAGCTTACTTGTGTGCACTCGGTTCAGCAGACCTTTGCTAGATAATGACTAACAGAAAGAGGGACTAACACTCATGCAAAGGGCACAAAGGTGCTGAGACCAGCGCAGCCGAGTCATAGTGCATACCACTGGGTAACTGGGTGTCTGCTAGAATGCACGCTCCAGAGGGAAGGCATCTTCATTTGGCTCCCTGGGGACCGAAGCACCTAGAATCATGCCTAACACATTGCTGGTGCTGAATAAATATTTGCTGGATGAATAAATGCCTAACATAGACAAGGGCAGGCATAGGACTGTACCATTATAATCAACACCTTCCACCTGCTGTTCTCAATTCCCTACCCTTTCTTTTTTCCAGCTTTATTGAAGTATAATTGATAAATAAAACTAGTATATATTTAAGGCATGCAATGTGATGTTTTGGTATATGTATACATTGTGAAATGATCACCACAATCGAGATAATTAACTTATCCATCACCTCATAGTTACCCTTTATTTTTTTTTCCTGTGGTGAGAACACTTAAGATCTACCCTCTTAGCAAACTTCAAGTGTACAGTACAGTATTATTAACTATCATCTCCATGTTGTATACTAGGTCCCCAAAACTTACTCATCTGTAAAATTGAAACTTTGCATCTTGGACTAACATCTCTCCACTTCGTCTCCCAGCCCCTGGCAACCACCATCCTATACTCTCTGCTTCTGTGAGTTTGATTATTTCAGATTCCGCATGTAAGTGAGATCATACAGTATTTGTCTTTCTGTGTCTGGCTTATTTCACTTTGCCTAATGTTCTTCGGGTTCATCCATATTGTTGCAAATATTAGGATTTCCTTCTTTTGATAAGGCTGAATAATATTCAATCATTGTGTATACAAAGGGTCTTCAAAAAATTCACGGAAAGAGGTGTATGATGTTTTAATTCCATCTCTCCATGAACTTTTTGAAATACCCTTGTATATACCACATTTTCTTAATCCATTCATCCAACAACAGACATTTAGGTTGTTTCCACATGTTAGTTGTTGTGAATGCTGCAATGAACATGGGAGTGCATTTATCTCTTCAACATCCTGATTTCAATTCCTTTAGGTATATACCCAGTAGTGGGATTGCTGGATCATATAGTAGTTCTATTGCTAATTTTTTTGAGGAGCCTCTATACTGTTTTCTATAAGGTTGTGCCAATTTACATTGCCACCAACAGGGTGCAAGGGTTCCCCTTTCTCCACACCCTCTCCAACACTTACCTCTCGACTTTTTGACAATAGCCATCCTAACAGGTGTGACGTGATATCTCACTGTGGTTTTGATTTGCATTTCACAGATGATTAATGGTGTTGAGCATCTTTTCATACACATGTTGGCCATTTGTATGTCTTCTTTTGAGAAATGTCCATTCAGGTCCTTTGCCTCATTTTCTGAGTTGTTTTCTTTCCATTAAGTTGTTTGACTTCCTTATATATTTTGGCTATTAACCCCTTATCAGATGCATGGTTTGCAAATATTTTCTCCAATTCTGTAGTTTGTCTCTTCACTCTGTTGATTGTTTCCTTTGCTGTGTCCCTGCCCTTTCTTGCTTCATGCATTTCTCTGGCTGTTTTTAAGATTCTCTCTTTGTCTTTGAGCTTTGCCAGTTTGACTCTATAATGTGTCTTGGAGAGGCCCTTTTTGGACTTAATCTGTTTGGGGTTCTTTGAGCTTCCTTGATCTGTAGGTCCGTGTCTCTCCCTATACCTGGGAAGTCTCTATTATTATTTAGCCGAATAGGTTTTCAATGCCTTTTCCTTTCTCCTCTGCTTCTGGAACACCCATGAATCAGACGTTTGTGTGCTTAAGGTTATCTGCTAGCTCTCTTAGATTTTCTTCATTTTTTAAAAAGGTTATTTATTTTTGTTCACCTGGGTTATTTCAAAAAGATCATTTTCAAGATGAGAAATTCTTTCTTCTGCTTGCTCTAACCTGCTGCTTAGGACCTTGGTTGTGTTTTTTTTAATATTTTAATTTTTTATTCCTTCAGCTCCAGGAGTTCTGCTACATTCTTTTTAAGGTATTAATCTCTTTGTAAATTTCCTCCTTCGTAGACTGGATATCTCATTTAATTGTGTTGTCTAACTGAGTCTTCTTGTGTCTCATTGAGTTTCCTTAAGATGGTTGCTTGGAATTCCTTTTCAGTCATTTCAAGGGTTTCCTGCTCTATGGGGTCTGGTACTTGAGAATTACTGTATTCCCTTTGGTGGTGTCACATCTTGTTTTTTTTTTTCCTGTTTCTAGTATCTCTGCAGTGATGTCTGGTCATCTGGTACAGTGGTTGCTTCTTCTATTACTACAGAGTGGGCTTTGAGGAGAGAGACATCCTCCTGTAGATGTTTTTTTTTTCCCGCCCCCCTTTTTTGTTTTTTTTTTTTTCCTGTTTCTAGTATCTCTGCAGTGATGTCTGGTCATCTGGTACAGTGGTTGCTTCTTCTATTACTACAGAGTGGGCTTTGAGGAGAGAGACATCCTCCTGTAGATGTTTTTTTTTTCCCGCCCCCCTTTTTTGTTTTTTTTTTTTTCCTGTTTCTAGTATCTCTGCAGTGATGTCTGGTCATCTGGTACAGTGGTTGCTTCTTCTATTACTACAGAGTGGGCTTTGAGGAGAGAGACATCCTCCTGTAGATGTTTTTTTTTTCCCGCCCCCCATTTTTGTCTTTTTTCATGTCCGGCAACGGATCGCAACCCTCAGTGTCGCGCCCGTACCGGACCGGGACCGGCAACGGGATCGCAACCCTCGGTGTTGCTCCCACACCTCACTCAGCCAGTGAGCGGGAACCAGTCTGTATGTGGGATCCGAACCCTCGGCGGGAGCACCACCGCGCTTCCCAAGCGGCGCACTGTAGCAGTGCGCCACCGGGCCGGCCCCTCCTGTAGATGTTTTATATCGACTGTTGAGTAAGGTGTTGTTTTAGTATTGGATCCAGATAAACACTACAGTGTTGAGTACAGATATTTTATATCAACTGTTGAGTAAGGTGTTGTTTTAGTGTTGGTTCTGGACAAAAGCTATAGTAGTGTAGCCTTCATGTGGGTACTTTGGCTGTCTTCAGTGTTGGAGCTGTGTGGGTCTCCATGGCCTAGGCACCAGAGCACTCAGTGATTCCTTGCTGAGGTTAATGACACTGTGTTGGTTAATTGAAGATGTGGGTGAGCTCTTGAGTTCTTGGGAGAAGTGCCTATGTGCTCTGTTGCTTTTTGGCTGGGGTGGGTGATCCTGGGCTGGCTTGTTGGCATCCTGGCTAGTGCCCCGTGACCTTGATGGGTTCACTGGGGTATAGTAAAGCTCCTCAGTTTGAATGGGTGACCCTGCAGGGCTATTCCTCAGTTCTTTCCTACAGGCAGAGGCTCCTCCTGGGTCCTTGCTTCCCCTGGTTGGGGGATGGGCTGCTGGTGATGGGGAATTTTCTTTCTTACTCTATATAGGCATCCTGGGTTTCTGTATTCTTGGGGGGTTCCACGTGTCTCTCCCCATATCAAGGCAGTCATGTGGGCTGCACATGTTTCTCCCACCCCCAGGTGTGCTGCTGCATGTGGCAGTGTAATTCTCCCTGTGAGTTGGGCCATTGGGTCATGGGTCTGTGTTTGCTCACCTCTTTCCCCAGGCTCTGCCGGTGACTCTCTTATGTCAATGCAGTTGAGTGGTCAGTCAGCCACCTGCATAGTGTCTGTGGCTGCTGCTGTGGCAGCGAGCTGACCTTGTGGCAGCAGTGGCTGTGGTGGTGGCTATGGCAGACCACAGGTGTGCTCCTGCCATCTTCTGGGCAGGGGTCTGCCCGTGGCAGTACCTGAGGTCCTTGGGCATGTGCCTACCATCTGCTGGGCCCACAATCCACGTTCTATTCCACGCTCGATCATCAGCAAATTCTACCAGCTCTACTACTAAAATGCAACCGGAGTGCAACCACTTCTCACCACTGCTGCCAACCTGTGCGAGCCATTATTATGCCTCACCTCGATGATTGAGCTGCCTCTTCATGGTTTTCCTGCTTTCCCCATTTCAGACTATGCTCCCCACAATAGCCAGTGTGACCCTCTAAAAATCCAAGTCCTCTGTGACTATCTCACTCAGAGTAAAATCCAAGCCCTGCAGGCTCTGGAGGCTCTGGACCTGGTCACTGTACTTCCCATCACACTCCCCCCAACTCATGCCGGGGACACACAGGGTCTTTGCACACTCCAAGCACCCCCCTACCCCAGGACCTTTCCTCTTCTTTCCCCTCTTTCTAGAATGTTCTTTCCCTCGGTCCACGTGATTCACACACTGTTCTCCTTTAGGGTTTTGCTCAGATACCACCTCATTAAGTTCTTTCCTAATGACCCTACTTAAAATTTCAAACCTCAGCCCCCTCGGTCCACGTGATTCACACACTGTTCTCCTTTAGGGTTTTCTCAGATACCACCTCATTAAGTTCTTTCCTAATGACCCTACTTAAAATTTCAAACCTCAGCCTGGATCTGCCTCTCCCCTTCATCACTTAATTTACCACCACGTGGTGGTATTATTTGGTTTGTACATTGACGGTCTTCCCCTAAAATTTAGGCTCATGTTGTCTCTTTGCTCACTGCTTTATTCTCAGCACCAAGAACAAACCTGAGCACAAAATAACTGCTCCCTAAACATGAGTCATTGCAGGACTGAAAGACTAGATCTCTAGGAATGTCCATGAATGTGTATGTTGCAGCTCAGTCTGATGACCCAAGTGTAGTATCATTTTAGCTGTGTCATTGGTTGATGATGTTAACTCATCATTACTGTGAATGAATGTTGACCTTAATCCATTGGTTAACACACGTCCAGGAGGCAGCAATTCCCATCTCCCCAGTTCATGTTCATAGTTGCTGCTAGGGTTTGGATGATGTTTTTTGGAACTTGTAGATAGCTGCTGTGTTATAGAGGGTGGAGTGCACCCACACACTTCCTAGGTCTGTATGTTAACTTGCAACTTCCAAACCTCGACAGTCTGGTGCCGTCAAACTGTTGCTGGCTCCGCCTGGACCCTTTTTCTTCCCGTGGGAGGCATATGCTAGGGGGTGCAATATTTAGTTTTCCAAGCTGGTGCTCCTGGGCAAAGACTTGAAGGGTATCATCCATCTTTACAGCTTCCTTGGCAAGACACCCTTTCCACCCCCCCACTCCTTCATCTCCAATGGAAAGAGACTCCTATCCCAGATCCTGTCTTTTTTTTTTTTTTTTTTTTTTTTTTTATAAAGATGACCGGTAAGGGGATCTTAACCCTTGACTTGGTGTTGTCAGCACCACGCTCAGCCAGTGAGCAAACCGGCCATCCCTATATGGGATCCGAACCCGTGGCCTTGGTGTTATCAGCACCGCACTCTCCCGAGTGAGCCACGGGCCGGCCCCCAGATTCTGTCTTAAATCGGCACTACTTGTATTAACAAGCTGTGTGACCCGAACAAGCTCTTCGTCTTTGCTGAGACTCAGTTTTCACCTGTGGAATGAGGGGCTGGGCCAGGTCAACCATGAGGTCCCTTGTGGCTCCCACATCCCCCATCCTGGGCCATTACACTGGGGCTATTCTCTGGAATAACATCTGACCGCCAAGAATTAATGTCGGCTGGATGCTGGTGCAGGAAGCTGATCTCAACATGGCCAAGGGCTGTGAGTTCCAACTGCCCCAACCAAGGAGACACATTCCTCTTTCTCTTGTTTCTAACCACTTCCTCTAGTACTTGTGTGTTCAGTGCTTCCTCTCCACCCCTCGCAGGCTGACGGCCAGTGGACCTGGAGTCTGACTCTCAGCCACCAGCTATTTTCATAACCTCTCCAGGCCACCTAAAGTGGGTCTTGGTTTCCTTATCTGTATATAGGGCATACAAATCCATAACCTACCAGCTTTACAGGACTTTCAAGAGGATTAAAGAGTTCCAAAGGGCTCTGTGGATATTAGAGGCAAACTGAATCCCATGATAACACATGACATCACCCAAAATCTAGAAATGATTTTTAAGCAGAGATTTCCAAATACCAGCCAGTGGTACTTTGCTCATTGGCCATCCAGTTAGAAGCAATGTTATAATTAGGGGGCCAAATGACCCCTAGGAGGGGTTTTAAGATAAGTATGGGGCTGGTGCTGATGGGATGGGGTGTGTGTGCTGCTCAGAGATATGTGAGCTGAGGTGTGTGTGGCTGGGGTTTCTTGCATCTGAGCTCAGCCTGCCCTTAGGACAGTGGAAGGGATCGGTGCTCCAGCTGCACAACACTTCTGTCAATTGGGGGCAAACAGCCAAAGAGGCAGGTGTACAGCAGGGCTGAAGGGGTGAGCACTTGGTGGGAGGTGGAAGGGCCTGGGGACCTCCCCCCCTACCATCCATGGGTCACTTCCCAACCCCCACCCTGGCCCCTTGCCCCGCTGCACCCCTTTGCTCTGCCGGAGCACCCCATACCCCATACCATACCTTGTAGCCCTGGATATCTCCATTCTGGCTGTCCAGTGGGGGTGGCTCCCATGTCACATCCAGCTGGGTGGCTGTGGCACCGTGGACGGCCACATTACGAGGCGCTGCCGTGGGCACTGTGTGGTGTGGAGGGTGGTGAGTGAGTGAGTGAGTAGACTCTGGGGAGGGGGAGGTGGGATGGGGACCCCAGATCTTGCATCTCTCCTGGCTGGACTTGGTGGGGGTGGGAAAGGCATGCTGTGGCTGGACAGGGGACAGGGCAGGCGGTGCTCACCTGCTTCCCCTACAAAGACCTCCTGCGGGGGGCTCAAGGGCCCCTCACCCACGGCATTGTACACACTCATCCGTATCTCGTAGCGCCGGTGCTTGTTCAGGTCTGTGGGGGAGAGTGGGGGGGGAACACACAGAGGTCACCGTCCCTGCTGGGAAGGAGCCTGCCATGGAAGGTGGAGGCTGTAGGGGGAGGGATGAGCATTCCTGCAATTCTAGCTCCCTGTGTGAAGGTTCAGGAAAAAATGGGCCAGAGGTGGGGCCTCCGGGGGATGCTCAGTCTCCTGCCCTGAATCTGGACACAGGATGACACTGGATCGCCTCCTGGCTGAGGGTGACCATACAATTGATTGCCCAAATGGACACTTTTGAGACTGAAAGGGGCAGTATTAATATTTACGCTGGGACAACCAGTGTAAACCACAACTGTCCTGAGCACGGCAGGCCACCAGGCCATGCCCTCCCTGTCTGTCCCCTCTCTTTCCCACCATGGCAGATGCCCAGAGTCCCCAGCTCCAGGACCCCACCCCCACCCCCAGCCCCATCCACCAGGTCTTTATGTGGCGGTGGAGGGGTTCAGTCCTAGAGAAGAGGGCTTATTGGATGGGAATTCTGGGATAAAGAAACCTCATGTTTTGCCAAGCCTGTGGTGCTTGGGTGGGGACACCGGCAGAGGTTGGGAGAGGGAAACAGCTACAGGAAAAGGGACTCAGTCACCCTGGGTGGGGGTGGGGGTGGAGTGGGGGAAGCTGCCCCTGCAGGGGGTGGCTGGCGTGTTCTCCCCTCTCCGCTCTCCTCTCTCTGGGCTCCCCTCCTCTTCTCCCTTCCCCAGGGTTGAAGTTCTACCCTTCCAAGGGACCCAGAACCAGGGGTGTGTGTCACCCCAGCTGAGCCGGCTCTGCAGCCTATGGTGGCCACTGGTTGAGGAAGGAAGGAGGAGGACAAACTTGTGCTGTTTTCCTTTAAGCAGGAGGCCAAGGCTCTGGGCCTTTGGAAGAACCATGGCTGGGACTTCGGAAACAAAGCAAGAGCTGGGAAATGTGACCAGCAGGAGCACGGCCTTGGTCCCCGGAGAGAAGACAGAAGCTGGTGCACAAGACTTGCTGCCTGCTGCCTCCAGGAGGGGGGTCTCAACGGGAAGGCACAGATGGGTGGAAAAGTGCCTCGGATGGTACAAGATGGGCAGCGGCGACGCGGGACCTGCCCGCCGGCCCACCCTGCAGCGTCCAGCAGCACCTCCCGTGGACCTAACCTCACTGTCCACCGCCCACGGAGCACAAAGCTGCAGACTTTCCTCTTTCATCCCGCTCCCAACAGAAGCTCAGCTTGGAGGAGGATGCCCCTGCTAACTGCCCCTTGTGTGTGTTTGGGAAAAGTCCCATGTGTTAAGGGTGATCCCATTCTTCAAGCACCCCAGGGTGCACATGGTGCACATGCTGCAGCCTGTGATCAGATGTTCCCGAGGCCCCACTCCCCACCCCCGTGGAAGGCCTGGGCCCGCGACGGGAGCTGCCATGCAAGGAGACTTACTGTCCAGCTCGTACTGCGTGAGGCTGGGCCGGCTCAGGTTCCGCATGGAGTACAAGGCTATGGGGTGGGGGCGGCGGAGGGGGCGGAGGAGACAGCAGACAGAGGAGGTTAGTGCACACACATGCCCCGCCCACGAAGAAACCCGGCCAGGGGGACGGGGTGGGACAGAGGGGGGCTGGCAGCGGGAACAGGCAGAGGGAGAGTGTTTCTGGATCCCTGATGCTGAGTTAGGGGCCGGGATGAGAATGGGGGTGCTGGGGGGAGGCAGCTGGTAGGCACTGGCCAGAGGTCGTGGGGTATCTTGAGCTCCTCGGAGCTCGGCACCCCTGGGGACAGCTCAGGGGGACCTTCTATTTCCAACTCCGCTCCCTTGTTTCAAGGCAGGGCTCCTGGAAAACCACCATGAAATACTAGAGTCGTTAATTTCCTCATATGAACCAGAAACAATTTTACTACCAGGAAATATGACTGCATTATACACAGGCAATATAAAATCACAACCACGAGCACATGTTGGCAAAAAAAATTAAAAAATAACACAAACTGTTGGATCAGCGACTTCCAAGTTTTTCTATTAATATTCCTTTGCTATAGGGTCAATCTTGCGAGAAGACAAGCATGAAAGGCTGAAGAGAATTATGGGAGGAAACACCAAAATGGAGAGGATCTTAAATTGCTCCCCCTCTCCTGCTAGTCTCTCTTTTGGTGAGTGGTGCCACCAGCTGCCTGGGTACCCAAATCCTTCAGGGCTCCTCCCCGTCCCCTCCACGAATCAATATGGCACCCTGTAGTCTGTGTCCACAACACATCGTCTCCCAAGCTGGCCTTCAGTTCCATCTCGAGCCTGCCACCTGGGTTCCAACCTCCTGCTCTCTGGCCTATGTTTCTGCAACAGTCTCCTCTGGCCTCCCTGTCTCTGATCCCCCAATCCCTCCACGGTCAAGCCATCATCCTCATGCCACCAAAGTGGCCCTCCTAACACAGAAGTCCAACCATGTCTTTCACTTGCTTTGACTCTCCCAGGAATCCTCTCCCTGTGATTTCTACCTGGGCTCCGTGCTCTCTTTCCTTCCCGCCATAGAGCTAGGCTAGATGCACAAGACCCTGGGGCAGGGCAGTGACTTCCTGCCCTAGGGTCCTGCCCGTTCTGATCTTGGGGAGTGACCAGGGGGCTTTGCTCCCTCAGAAGCAAGGTGCTCCTTCCTACATGCTGGGCTCTCCCATCCCTTTGCCTGGTTAACTTAGAATCGTCCTCCAGTGTTAGTGCCAATGTCAATGCCGGGGAAGCCTTTTCTGACCCTGGGTTTAGGCTCTCCTGGGATATTTCCTCCACAGCTGTCCTGCCAACGGGCCTTAGACATCTATTTCGGAGATCACTTCTTGAATGCCTGGCTCCTCCTTGAGCCTGCAACCTCCAAGAAGGCAAGGACCCTGTCTGTCTTGATCACGGATGTGCCCTCCAGGGTCTCGGGGCATGTAGAAGGTGCTCAATAAACGCTCGTAAGTGAATGAATGGGATGGGGACAGAGGCACACACGGGGGAGGGAGGCAGGGTTCCAGGTTAGAGTGATTCCAGGAAGCTGAGAGCTTCAGAGGTGAGTGTGCGCCCATCTTCTCCCCCATCCCCTTGAGGTATCACTCACGGGTAAGCTCGGCCCACTTGGCCCCGGGGTTGTTGATGCCTCGAAGAGTGAAGCCCCTCAGCCCTTCATAAAGCAGCTCCCGGTACCGAATCCGGAAGCCCAGGAGGATGCCATTGACCTTGTCCTCGGCTGGAGGCTGCAGGGAAGGAAGCAGGAGATAGGGAGGCCCCAGATCACTGCTTGCACCGCTCCGCCCCTCCCTATCCCCAAGATAACATTGGCCATCTTCAATTTACAAAGCACGTCCACAGAGGTTATTTCATGACCGCAGCGTTCCCTGTGAAGCAGGGGAGGGCAGAAATCACCATGCAATCCTCCTTTCACAGAGCGGGAAACTGAGGCTCAGAGATGTTAAGGAGCTTTCCCAAGATCACACAGCATCGTTAGGGCCTGGAGCATGACTCTGGACACATAGTTGTTTTCATGGAGCCAGTTCATGGCCAGGAGCTCCCTCCCCAATCATCAGCCTCCCCGGGCCTGCTGACCCCTGCCTTACCACCTGGCCAACACTTCCTGGCATTTCCTGTGACCTAGACCCTCTCCCTCCTCTTCAGCACATACAGGGGCAAGTGTGTCTGCCTGCACCGCACTCCCCCGTCCCCCCTTCACATTTTCTCCTTTGCTCCTGCTCCTGTCCACAGCTGGGTTGGAGAACAGACTTCGGGAGGAAGTGGGAACTATCTTTATGATGCCTCTTTAAAAAAACCTGCTGAAAGGGTTCAGCCTTTTATTAGCACCTTAATTGCTTCCCTGGCTGCTGCTGGTACCTCCCTGTTCCCTTCACCACACTGGCCCCAATCTGCTCCAGCCTCATCCTGGCTCACAGCTGTATATGAGTCATCTTCATCTCAGGGAGTGTCCCCTCTGTGAGGCTGGGGAGGGGCCACGGGTCCCTCCTCATTTTGTCTTCAAGGGTTTTCCCTTTAGCAGGGCTGCATCTGGGCAAAGGGTGGTGCCTGCCCCTCTGATCCTGAGAAGCAGAGGCGGGAGTTAGCTGCTCTGGGGTCTCCGTGGGTGGCCTGCTGAGCCAAAGGCTGGACTTCAGAGGGCACAGGAGGAGCCTGAGGGCGAGACATGGGCAGCCTGTCTCTGAGGTTCACCCATGGTCTTCCTCAGGCCGCAGCAGAACAGGCCGTGCCCACCAAAGAGCGGGCGGCTGGAAGGGGCGTGGAGGAAGGGGGGTGTTTTCTCTGCATCTGAACAATGGGCTCCAGCTGACAGTGACGGACACAGGTCAGGCATGCACACCTCTGCTTGTCTCTCTATTAGGAACCCCTTCACTGACCAGTGGGTCTAGACTTCAGGGAGACACTGGGGGCCCTGAGAGTCCCAAGTATTTTTCAGTACACCTAAGGCTAATACACATGGCCCTGTCACTCACTAGCTGTATGACTTGGGGCTACTGGCGTCCCCTCCTGAGTCTCGGTCCTCATCTGCAGAAGGGGATGATAATAGCAGCAGCCTGATGTGAAGACCTGGAGAGTGGAATGAGGGATGTGTGTGCGTGTCTGTGTGTGCATAGAATGTTCTGTAACATGCACACTCCCGGATTGCTCTTGCCTTCTGTGTGCTCTGGGGGCAGAGAACCTGGGAGCCCCAGGCAGCCCCGGTGGGGACTGTTGACTTTCTGATCTCAGTTTGGGAGCTCTCTGCCTGCCGGGTCTTACCTGCCATCGGATTAGCACAGAAGTGGTGGTGTGGGGCGTCACTGAGAGGATGGTGGGTGCTTCGTCAGGGGCTGCGGACAGAGGCACACAAGGGGGCTCTGGGGGCTGGAGCTTCAGCCCCATGCCCTGGGAGCCCACGGGGACCAGATTCTGTTGATACTGGACTGGACAACAGATCCAGCTTAAGTCACCTTCAATGCCCACCAACCCAATTTCTGCAGAACAAAGGGCCACTGTGGAGGGAGAGAGAGACTACGACCTGACCCCAGACCAAACCCAAGGATCCCAGAGCCCCCTCCTTTCTGCCTCTTGGAGCCACAGGCCTCCCCCCTCCCATTCACTGGTAGCTTGTGGGACATCAGACAAGGAAGGCACTAAGAGGCGAGGCTGGGCCTGGGATCCCAAGGCCCTGGCAAAGGCCCTTCTGGCCCGAACCTCCTTGGGACTCTGTGCAGGAGATCAGGAGCCCAGCAAACTGGTGCCCCTCTCATCTTTGGAGTCCCCTCCCCTTGGAAGAGAATGCCCAGTGCCCAGGAAATAGCCAGTGAGCCAAGGGGAAGAGATGCAAGTGGGGGAGGGGGCACTGACCGGCCTGCAGGGTGGTCAGTGACTCTGACTCCTCGCTGAAGTCGCTGTCCCCAATGTCATTGGTTGCCTTCAGTCGGAACTTGTAGGACGTGAAGGGCTTGAGCCTGTGAGGGGAATCAGATCCAATGAACTGAGCTGTCTCCTAAAGACCCTGTGCCACGCCTCGGCCACAGGGTCTGACTGATCTACCCCTGCTCGAGGAAAGGGGCGGGGTGCCGACCCACTACACAGACAGGAACACCGAAGCTCCGACAGGAGCTCTGCTACGAAGGGTACCAGACCCCCCAGATCATGTCAGCTTGGGATGCCTTTAGCTCCAGTCACCGGCTACAGGTCCCCAAAAGAAATGTCTATACGTTTCCTACCTCAGAAGACCAGGCCACTACGAAAGTGCAAACTCCCTCCACCCCCAAACTGCCATCCCTTTCTTAAATTGAGTAAATTCAGGAAGGGTGGAGGTTCTCAAGGGTAACCAGTACTTCGTCTCTATAAGTCTCATTTCCTCTCCCAGCAAACATCTTTCTTTTTGATTTATTGGGGGTGGGAGAGGTGGGGAGGAAAGTATGGCTCAAAACTCCCAGTCATGTTAACTGGAATATAAAAAATACAACCCACTGGGAATTAAATTGAAACCAGAATTTCAGAGCGAAGATCCACTCTCCTATTAAAGATGAGAGGAACTGCCGCCTGGCTGGGAAGAATCCCTAATGCAGGATGGTGGCTCTTCACTAAAGGGGCTTCTAGGCTGCAGCAATAGATCATTAAGATGCAACCCCAGAGAGACAGAGGGAGAGGGCTGGAGGGGCCAGAGCGGACCGGGAGGCCTCCTGGGTGGTGCTGTCCAGGCTGGGGGGTCCGGGCCTCACCTGTCCACAATGAAGGTGGAGGCGTTGTGGCTCACGGAGGCGGAGTGCAGCGCCCACCTGCCGCTGGGCAGCTCGCGGGTCTGGACGGTGTAGTAGCGCACAGGGGACAGCCCGTCGCTGCCAGGCTCCCAGGACAGCAGCACGCTGCGTGCCTTCACGTCCTCCTGCTGCACCACCAGCTTGCTGGGGGGCTGCGGGCGGTCTGCGGGTGGCAGAGGGGAGGAGAGTGAACAGCGCAGCGGGGCCAGGTGCTGGTGGAGGGGACGGCTTTCTCAAGGGAGGGAAGGATGGCTCTGGGTCAGGCCTGGAGCCACACTCCTCCTAGGTCCACGCGCACGGGGTCCTGCCATGTTCTGTCCCTGTGCGCAGCCAGCACCCGTGTCTCCTGGTCAGAACCTCCCCTCCGTACACACACACCAAGGACTGGCCATGAGGACGTGTAAACACCCCAGCACCTCTGCTCCTGCCCCGCAGCAACGCTGAGATGGGACCTGCGCTGTCCCGAGTGGGACGGAGCCCACCCTTCCCTCTGTGGGACTCTGCTTTACACCACGCCCTCGCTCGGCTTCCTTCTCTCTCCAGCCTCACTTGTCTACCCGCTACTGCAGAGACTGTCAGCCTTGGCACTGCGGCATCTGGGATGGAGCGTGCTCTGCGGGGCTGTCCTGTGCCGTGCAGGATGCCGAGCCACCTCCCTGACCTCTGCCCACTCATCGGCAGGAGCACCTTCCACCTGGTTGTAACCACCAAGCTGTCTCTGACAATGTCCCGTGGGGGGACAAAGCAGCCCCCAGTTTGGAACCACTGTCTTACTGGGAACATTTCCTCATCCATCACTTTCACATCAATCGGCGTCTCAGACCTGTGTCTGGGGAACCCAAGCTTGGGCGAGATGCATGCCAGCTCAGGGCAGTGGGCCGTGGTGGCCAGGGCTCAGGCTGCAGCCCCAATCCTCCATGCAACCGGACAAGGCCAGGGCCATGCAGGGGAGGGGAGAAGGGAAGGATGATGGTCACCAAGCTTCCCTTTAGAAAACCAGAGCAGAGCAGGATCCTTGGGAGGGGACCTCCCAGCTCAGCTCTGGAGGTCTCCCAGACCCCTTGCTGACCTTGACTCTGGAGACTGGAACCCTCTTTCCATCCCAGGTGGGGCAGTGTGACTCCTAACTAGCTGATCCCCAGCCATCCAGTGGAGAGGCTCCGAGCACCCGGATCGGCTGGGGGTGCCCCTTGGCCACCTCTCAGGCCTCC